ACTTGTTTTCCATTTCTTAGCAACTGTTGCAAGTCTTGATAGAGGCAATGGAGAACCTGAAAATCCAGATGACTATGACTTTGAGCTTATATTCAGAAAAACTCAACATACGAGCTATGTGAAACACGATATGAATTCGAATAACAACTGGGTTTCACACTTTACAGTCTGTGCCTGGATACACACACCAGATTTACAACAGAGCCAAGAGATGACTGTGATAAGTATTTTGATCGAGAAGAATGGCGGCAACCAAAACGTTGTGAGATTGGGAATCGCCGGAAAAGGCAACATTTTTTTTTCATTTGGAAGTGGCAGGTAAGGAGTTTTTGTGAGCCACAATTATCAGAGAGGAATCATTTACCTTGTCGTTATCAATTTATATAGGCGCGTTTTTTTTTGTTGCCAAATTAGAACAGACTTTTCCTGACGATCCTGTTAGCTTGTCATTTTTTGTTTCAAAAGCCGGTTTTAAGACAAGTATATCAACACTCAATCGTCCTTTCGTAACAAAATGAAAAAATTAAAATTAAAATTTAAAAATTTTTACGTTTAAGTTAAGTAGTGCGCGTTTAAAACGAAGGAAAAAATGTTAGTTTATGACTGTCAATAAACCAAAAACTGGTAGGAAATGAAATTACTGACGCGCGATTTTGCCTCTTTAGCTACTTTGAAGTGAATAATACTTGCTGTCTGCCTGTGTGGTATATACCAAAATAAATAGAGCTACATAAGTTCAGTTATATAATCAATACTGTGGGGGATAAAGAGATTACCTTTTAGTAGATACTTGCGTTTTTTTTTTGAAGGACCTCCCTTTCCAACGTATTCGCTACCAGTTCTCCGAAGGATGAAATGGTCTTCCTCTGTGTTCGTATCCAACCTGAACAGTCACCTAAAATGGAAGCGATCGTAAATGCAGATTTCGATTCAAAAAAAACTAGCGAACTAGTTAAGTACGAAAGCGTTCAGTGGACTCAAGTAATCATCGGACAAAATCAAGACAGTGACGGAACTATTACAAACGACACCCCATTCTATGGAAGGATTTCGAACTTAAACATCTGGTTTAATCTCGCTGATGCCCACATTACATATTGGTACAAAGGTTGGAAATATGACAAACCTCACATCCTTAAATGGCCACAACTTGGTTCTTCCAAGAGATTTGGAGACGTTCATTTTGTAAAGGTCACTTCTGCTGAAAGAAGTAAGTTTAATGGACTTGATACTCTGCCTTATTATCCAACTGCACTAAGCAGAGTACGAATAACGCGTGAATCGAGTACAAATATCCTGCGATATTGCACAGTTGGTTATTTTATACAGAAAAAGACCTGTTAAATCGGTCGACTGCGCGCACTACGCTTCTCTATCTGCCTCGCTTTTCCTACTCTTAAAGAAATGCGCTTGGGATTAATTAAGCAGTTGGATCATAAATATCTTACTAGTGTAGACTCATTGTTTGTAGTTTGACTCACCCTCCGAGCTCGTCAAAATACGGCCCAACTCGTAAAAATACTCAGTGATACTACACACCAAAATGTCTAACATGATATATTTATTGTGCTTAATGCAAAGTTAAATTTATCTAGAAAAGTTGGTGGGAAGGGATGGAGGGTTGGAAAGTGCTCAAGG